TGTGAACTGACCCAGAGCTGCCCCTTGCTAGGACAGCCCAGGGCGGAATGACCTCACCTGCCATCCAAGGAGGCTGAATTCATGCACCCCCCTGAGCTTCCAGAAAAGTGTCACTCAGGTGACCCCACACAAATGACCCCCTGCACCCCCCACTCCTGCACCCCAACCCCTCCCCCACCTGCACCCCCAACCCCACACTCCTGCACCCTTCTTCCCCACCCAACCCCCTGCACCTCATCACACCACACTCCTGTACCCCACTCCCTGCACCCCCACGTCACACTCCTGTACCCTACTCCACCTCACCACCTGCACCCCCCACTCCTGTACCCCCATGTCACACTCCTGTACCCCACTCCCCCTACTCCACCTCCACCCCACCACCTGCACCCCCTACTCCTGTACCCCCACTCCCTGAACCCCCACATCACACTCCTGTACCCCACTCCCTCTACTCCACCTCCACCTCACCACCTGCACCCCCCACTCCTGTACCCCCACTCCCTGAACCCCCACATCACACTCCTGTACCCCACTCCCCCTACTCCACCTCCACCTCACCACCTGCATCCCCCACTCCTGTACCCCCACTCCCTGAACCCCCACATCACACTCCTGTACCCCACTCCCCCTACTCCACCTCCACCCCACCACCTGCACCCCCCACTCCTGTACCCCCACATCACACTCCTGTACCCCCACTCCCTCTACTCCACCTCCACCTCACCACCTGCACCCCCCACTCCTGTACCCCCCACTCCCTGAACCCCCACATCACACTCCTGTACCCCACTCCCCCTACTCCACCTCCACCTCACCACCTGCACCCCCCACTCCTGTACCCCCACTCCCTGAACCCCCACATCACACTCCTGTACCCCACTCCCCCACTCCACCTCCACCTCACCACCTGCACCCCCCACTCCTGTACCCCCACTCCCTGAACCCCCACGTCACACTCCTGTACCCCACTCCCCCTACTCCACCTCCACCCCACCACCTGCACCCCCCACTCCTGTACCCCCACTCCCTGAACCCCCACATCACACTCCTGTACCCCACTCCCCCACTCCACCTCCACCTCACCACCTGCATCCCCCACTCCTGTACCCCCACTCCCTGAACCCCCACATCACACTCCTGTACCCCACTCCCCCACTCCACCTCCACCCCACCACCTGCACCCCCCACTCCTGTACCCCCACTCCCTGAACCCCCACATCACACTCCTGTACCCCTCTCCCCCTACTCCACCTCCACCTCACCACCTGCACCCCCACTCCTGTACCCCCACTCCCTGAACCCCCACATCACACTCCTGTACCCCACTCCCCCTACTCCACCTCCACCCCACCACCTGCACCCCCCACTCCTGTACCCCCACTCCCTGAACCCCCACGTCACACTCCTGTACCCCTCTCCCCCCACTCCACCTCCACCTCACCACCTGCACCCCCCACTCCTGTACCCCCACTCCCTGAACCCCCACATCACACTCCTGTACCCCACTCCCCCTACTCCACCTCCACCCCACCACCTGCACCCCCCACTCCTGTACCCCCACTCCCTGAACCCCCACATCACACTCCTGTACCCCACTCCCCCTACTCCACCTCCACCCCACCACCTGCACCCCCCACTCCTGTACCCCCTACTCCCTGAACCCCCACGTCACACTCCTGTACCCCACTCCCCCACTCCACCTCCACCCCACCACCTGCACCCCCTACTCCTGTACCCCCACTCCCTGAACCCCCACATCACACTCCTGTACCCCCACTCCCCCTACTCCACCTCCACCCCACCACCTGCACCCCCCACTCCTGTACCCCCACATCACACTCCTGTACCCCACTCCCCCTACTCCACCTCCACCCCACCACCTGCACCCCCCACTCCTGTACCCCCCACGTCACACTCCTGTACCCCACTCCCCCACTCCACCTCCACCCCACCACCTGCACCCCCTACTCCTGTACCCCCCACTCCCTGAACCCCCACATCACACTCCTGTACCCCACTCCCTCTACTCCACCTCCACCTCCACCCCACCACCTGCACCCCCCACTCCTGTACCCCCACTCCCTGAACCCCCACATCACACTCCTGTACCCCACTCCCCCTACTCCACCTCCACCTCACCACCTGCATCCCCCACTCCTGTACCCCCACTCCCTGAACCCCCACATCACACTCCTGTACCCCACTCCCCCTACCCGCCTCCACCCCACCCCTCACCCCCCACCCCCACGTCACACTCCTGTACCCCCCTCCCCCCACCCCGGCCCGGCAGCACAGGGCGGCCCCTCACCTGGACTCCGCGTTTCACCACCGGCGCCGCTCCCCACTGGGGGCCCCGGTCCCCATCGACGGCCGTCAGCGCCGCTGGCAGCCCGGCTTCCCGCCCACCCGGCCCCCCAGCCTCTTGGGCAGCAACACTAGACTCCATCTCCACGTGTCATTGGCTGTTACCATGACAACCCTTAGCAACACGGCTTCTCATTGGCCAGAAGCGCCGGCGCTGTCATCAGTCGCCATCTTTATGAAGGGCAAAGATTCTACCCGAGAATCGTCATCGCTGTGAGCGGCAGAGACTCCCCCGCCCCGATCTCGCCATGTTTGTGCGGGGCGCGCCGCCGGACGCCTAGGGCGGCCATGTTTGTGCGGGGCGCGCCGCCGAACGCCTAGGGCGGCCATGTTTGTGCGGGGCGAGGGAATCTCTGCCTTGGCAAACTGCCTTTCCTCCCCCGGGCACGCGGGCGGCCCCGGCCTCCGCTGGCTCCCGGCTCCCCAGCCACCGCCCCTGTAGGGCTGCCGCCTTTCTCATTGCACAAAACCAACGTCCCTTCCCTGCTCTCACCCCCTTTCACTGGGCTGGGGCAGGGGGTTGGGGTGCAGGGTGGGGCTCAGGGCTGGGGCAGGGGGTTGGGGTACAGGGTGGGGCTCAGGGCTGGGGCAGGGGGTTGGGGTACAGGGCGCAGGCTCTGGGAGGGAGTTTGGATATGGGCTCAGGGCTGGGGCAGGGGGTTGGGGTGCAGGGGTGGGGTCAGGGTGGGGAGGGGGTTGGGGTGCAGGGTGGGGCTCAGGGTGGGGAGGGGGTTGGGGTACAGGGTGCAGGCTCTGGGAGGGAGTTTGGATATGGGCTCAGGGCTGGGGCAGGGGGTTGGGGTGCAGGGTGGGGGGCTGGGGAGGGGGTTGGGGTACAGGGTGGGGCTCAGGGTGGGGAGGGGGTTGGGGTGAGGGGTGGGGTCAGGGTGGGGAGGGGGTTGGGGTACAGGGTGGGGCTCAGGGCTGGGGCAGGGGGTTGGGGTACAGGGCGCAGGCTCTGGGAGGGAGTTTGGATATGGGCTCAGGGCTGGGGCAGGGGGTTGGGGTGCAGGGTGGGGCTCAGGGCTGGGGCAGGGGGTTGGGGTACAGGGTGCAGGCTCTGGGAGGGAGTTTGGATATGGGCTCAGGGCTGGGGCAGGGGGTTGGGGTGCAGGGTGGGGCTCAGGGCTGGGGCAGGGGGTTGGGGTACAGGGTGGGGCTCAGGGCTGGGGCAGGGGGTTGGGGTGCAGGGCGCAGGCTCTGGGAGGGAGTTTGGATATGGGCTCAGGGCTGGGGCAGGGGGTTGGGGTGCAGGGCGCAGGCTCTGGGAGGGAGTTTGGATATGGGCTCAGGGCTGGGGCAGGGAGTTGGGGTGTGGGAGGGTTTCAGGATACAGGGTTCTGGGGGCGCGTACTGCGGTTCCCAGAAAGCGGCCATCAGGTCCCTTCGGCCCTAGGTGCATGGGTGGCCAGGGAGCCTCCAAGTGCTGTCCTTGCACCCACAAGTGCCACCCCCACTGGGTTGACTGGAGCTGCCAGGGTCCCTTTTCGACTGAGCATTCCAGTGGAAAACCGGATGCTTGGCAACCCTAGCCCTGTTCCCCCGGCCCAGCCTTCTGCCCGGTCCCCAGCTATGGCCCTGTCCCTCCAGAGCCTGGTCCCCAGCCACAGCCCCGTCCCCTTGGTCCAGCTTCCTGCCCGGTCCCCAGCCACAGCCCCGTCACCCCAGAGTGCCAGGCCCCACATAGCTTTTCAGACCAGATGCACAGGTTAGTGTCTTTGGAAGGGCGGCTGCCTCTGAGCCCAGAGAGACACTAGGGCATCGTATGATCGGTCAGTGCGGTTCCCTCTGGGCAGCTGCCCATGGCCATTTCCAAAATGCCTTCCTGCTTGTGTCTGGATGAGCAGTTGTGGCTAAGGCAGCTGTGGCATTAGGCACCCTCTGGGAACACTGGCATGAATTGGCACAGCTACACATACTGGCCAGCTGTTTATGCGCGGGCACTGCTCCCATTAGCCAAGTCACCCGCTCCAAAACCATCAGCCAGACTTCCTGGGCTGAAAATCCCATGGCATGCACAAGTGCCTGGGTTTCCTTGTATGGGGGCGGAAGGGCGGGAAAGGCTAAGGCCTGCACTCATGTGACCATGGTAAAGAATCTCAGAAAGAGTCACTTTCTTCTAACACTGAACAAGGAACTTTATTAGAATGAGGGAAACAGTACTCGCCCTAAAGCCACTCTGTCGCTCCCACAGAGCTCCCGTCCAGAACCTTCCCCAGCCTCCTCCCGGTCTGCCTCCCTGCTACAAAGTTAAAGAACCAGCATGCATAGCCTCACAGGACTGCACACTCTTTAGGCTGGTAGCAGCCTTTCCCCCAGAGAGACCAGGGGGTGGGGGTTGTGGGATTCAGTGTGATTAGAGCCTGCAGTCTGTAGCCCAGAAGAGGTCACAACTGGGGAGCATCTGCTTGAGGGTGGCCTGGTGCTTCCTGTTTGAAAACACATTAAGAGGTGCAGTAGGACAGAAGGAGAAGTCCCAGGAGTGGAGGGAGGCAGTGACATTGACTCAGGGGAACCGGAGTCCCTGCCCATGGACAGATAGTCCTCGCCTCTCTCCAGCTATCCAACCCGCCCGCAGGGCGCCTTCGGCGAGGCTCCTTGCAGTCAATGATTCTAAATCGAGCTTGGATGCAATGAGTAGGAGGAGCTTAGGGAAGGGGCGTGGCCAGCGAAGTAAGTGGCCAGAGTTTAAGGAGGAGACTGGTCAGGGCAGTGAAGCGCGGATTTGGGGGAAGCGCAGGCTTAGCCGAAAGAACCGGAGTGCTTGCGGCACCTTCGAGAGGTTTAGGGAGAGGATGTTGGTGCCTGGGGGGCTAGAAAGGGACGTGGGAATTGTGGTCAGTGGGAGGAGTTTAGGGAAGGGGCGTGACCGGCGCACTGAAGAGGTGGAGTAGGCGTGGTTAGCACTGTGACTGGTTGGAGGGGTGTGTCCAGAGTAGGCAGCGGGCGGGGTTCAGGGAAGGGGCGTGGCCAGCACAGCGAGGGGGAGGAGTCGGCGCCGGCGCGGAGAGCAGCGTCACTGATTCCGGGGGCGTGGCCAGAGCGGGCAGCGGGCGGGGTTCAGGGAAGGGGCGTGGCCAGCACAGAGAGGGGGAGGAGTCGGCGCCGGCGCGGAGAGCAGCGTCACTGATTCCGGGGGCGTGGCCAGAGCGGGCAGTGGGCGGGGTTCAGGGAAGGGGCGTGGCCAGCACAGCGAGGGGGAGGAGTCGGCGCCGGCGCGGAGAGCACCGGGACTGCTTCCGGGGGTGGAGAGAGAGGGGGTGGTTCAGGGAAGGGGCGTGGAGCAAGAGAGGGGAGGAGTCGGGGGCGGGAGAGAGTCACTGATTCCGGGGCGTGGCAGAGAGGAGCGGGCGGGGTTCAGGGAAGGGGCGGGCCAGCAAGAGAGGGGAGGAGCGGCGCGGGCCGCGGAGAGCACCGTGACTGCTTCGGGGGGTGGAGAGAGGAGGGGCGTGGTTCAGGGAAGGGGCGTGGCCAGCACAGAGAGGGGGAGGAGTCGGCGCCGGCGCGGAGAGCAGTCACTGATTCCGGGGCGTGGCCAGAGAGGAGGGGCGGGGTTCAGGGAAGGGGCGTGGCCAGCACAGCGAGGGGGAGGAGTCGGCGCCGGCGCGGAGAGCACCGGGACTGATTCCGGGGGCGTGGCCAGAGCAGGCAGCGGGCGGGGTTCGGGGAAGGGGCGTGGCCAGCACAGCCAGGCGGTGGAGGCGCCGGCGCGGAGGGCACGGGGACTGGGTCCGGGGGCGTGGCCAGGGCAGGAGGCGGGGCCCGGCGCGCGAGGGGTGGGGGCGCGGCCCGCGGGGCGCGGCGGGGCGGCCGGCGATTGGCCGCGGCGGGCGGGTCAGGTGACGCGCGGCGCCCCGCCACAGCCGGCCGGCCATGGACGAGAGCAGCCCGCTGGTGTCCCCGCAGCGGGCCCCGGCCGCCGCCGCCTACGGGCTGCCCGCGGGGCCGGGCGGCGCGGTGCGCGCGCTGCTGCCCCCCCCGCCGCCGCCCGGGCCCCCCCGCCGCCGCCGCCGCCGCCGCGCCCTCCCCGCCCGGCTCCCCGCGCGCCCGCGACCGCGAGCGGCAGCCGCTGCTGGAGCGGGGCGCGGCGGGCGGCCGGGGCCCCGGGGCGGCGCAGGCGGCGGCCCAGGCGGCGGCGGCGCAGGCCCAGCGCGAGCGGAACGACTTCCCCGAGGACCCCGCCTTCGCCGAGGTGGTGCGGCTGGCGGAGGCGGCCAGCGAGCGCGGCGTCTTCCCGGAGCGCATCTACCAGGGCTCCAGCGGCAGCTACTTCGTCAAGGACCCGCAGGGGGTGAGAGCCGGGGGGGACCCGCCCCCGCCCCCCGCCGGCCTGGCGCCCTGATCCCCCCGCCGGCCTGGCGCCCCCTCCCCCCGCGCCCTGATCCCCCCGCCGGCCTGGCGCCCCCTCCCCCCCGCCCCCGCCCCCCGCCGGCCTGGCGCCCCCTCCCCCCCGCGCCCTGATCCCCCCGCCGGCCTGGTCCTGGCTTGCCCCCCCGCCCGCCCCGCTCCCCCCTTCAGGCCTGGCGCCTCCCCCGTCCCCCCCCGCGCCCTCCCGGTCTGCCCCCCTCCTCTCTCCCCCGCCGCGCCGCGCCCCCCCCCCGGCGCCCTGCCCTCCCCCTCATCCCGCGCCGCGCCCCCCTCCCGGCCTGGCTCCCCTGCCCCCCTCCCCGCCGCGCTCTCCCGGCCTGGCCCCCCTCCTCTTCCCCCCCCCGGCGCCCTGCCGGCCCCTCTCGGCCTGGCCTCGCACCCCCGCTTCCTCCCGCCGGCCTGGCCCCCGCGCCCCTGTCCCGCCGCGCTCCCGGGGCCCTTCCTGGCAGCCGCGCAGCGGAGCTTGGGCCTCTCCGGCTTCCCCGGCCCGCCGGCGCCCTCCCCTCGCTGCGCCTGGGGGGGCCTGGCTGCTCAGCAGCCCCTGTGCCCTGTAGGGACTCTCCCTCCCTCGCCCCGGGGTGGGGGCCCGGCTCCGTTTCTCTGGGCGAGGACGGGGTGTCGGGAAGCGAAGTGACCTGTCGGGGGGCTGTGCCCTGACCGCGCTTCCCCGGGGACTGCGGAGTGTGTCCGGGGTGCGATGCAAGAGCCTGGCCCGCCGCAGGGTGTGGGTCAGGTACCGGCCCAGGCTGCCGGGTTGTGTCCCCGCTGCACACCCCCTGGGGAGGCTGACCCCCGGCCTGGGTTTATGTCCTGCGCCACTTGTTGTTGACTGCAGAGTGAAGCATGGATTGGGCTCCCGGTGCTGTACACGCTGGAGGATCCTGTCCTTGTCTGTGTCAAACCTCCGCCTCCCCCACTTGCTGGGACTGCCTGGAGATGGGCCTGCTTGTTGCTAATGGACCCGGCTGCCTCTGAGTGAACTGGGCCAGTGGCTGGACGGCTCTGATTAGACCCCCAGGCCCGGCGGTGGCAGGCCAAGACCCCTTTTGAGTGTGTGAGACTGTGTAGGTCTCCCTGCTGCAGGGCTTGGCTGCCCAGAGTGCTCAGCCTCGTCCCATCTCCTGCAGCGTTCAGTGACTGAATAGCGTGGGCTTAGGACGGGGCTTTCTGGGCTGGAGTGGTGGCCAGGGCCTAGGAAAGTCTGTGTCGCCCTGGGCAGCTGCATCAGTTTAATCGAAGGCTTTCGACTGACAGGGGTGCCAGCTCTGGGTGCTGCTGATCGGTCTGGGGGCCTCTTCTGGTTTTGACTGGGGAGCAGGTTTCAGCTAAACCCAAGTGTCCCCGCAGGTTTGCACTGGTTCAGTTACAGAGATCAGAAGCTGGGTTTGAATGAACAGTGCAGCCGTCCCACGCAGACAGGCCCAGAGGACATGCCAGTTGTCAGGACTCTGCCACGGAGTCTGACTCTGCGTGCTGGGGTTACACGCCTTGCCGTGGCCGTTGTCCCAGCCTGGGACCCGGCGCTACAATCTCCGGGAGGGGCGCCGTAAGGGAGATAGACGCTCTCAGCCCAGGTCTGTCTGTGCTCCTGTCTCATTGCCTCGTTCCCTCACACCCCTATAGGCTTGGGCCTGCCTCCTAACTAACCCTCCCCACTGAACCCTTCCTGAGCCCATGGCTGTCACAGAGCCCCTCTCTCTGTGCCCCGACCCTGTGGGGTCGCTGGCGCAGACTCCGTGGTATGGTGCTGTGGGAGCAGAGCAAGACATGTTCCCTGCAGGAGGGGGATGGACCAAGCCAGCGTGAAGTCCTCACCATATCTCCACTCCCGGTGGGTCCGGTTGGCTGCGCTGCAGCATTCTCCAGGGCGCTGATCAGGGCTGTACGCGGGGCCGGGTGGCTGCCTTGTGACTCTGGCTGCTAACCGGATTAGTCTCGCTGCTGGTTCCTGGGGCTCCCTTGTCTATTGCTGCTCCTGGAGCAAGGCTTGGCTTGGCAGGGGTTTTCATAACACCAACTTCCCTGCCCCTGTCGGGGGCCAGCTGGGATTCTGGCTACCAGGTCTTCCACTGGCTGGGTCCTGGGGCGTAGGCGGCTCTGCCCCAGCCAGAGGTGAGGCAATAGAACCAATGAGCAACTTCCTTTTCACCCTGGCTCTGCGCCGTTCCCAGCAATGCAGAGAGTGTGTGTGGGTGGAAGCATTGTCTGAGGGTGTGGCACTGGGGTTCAGTAGATGGGGGGTTATTCCTGGCTTGGGTGCCTGCCCACCTCCTCGCAGGAGCTGCCCATAACCCTGTGTGTCTGGGGGGCTTTCAGGTGGGACGCAGTGCAGAAGGGCAGGGAGGGTCCTCCAGCCAGGAGATGGCAGAGGCCCAGAGCCCCTGAGTAGCTATCACCGCTGGGCAGCAAAGAGCACTTGTCAAGCACCGTAAGGAATGTGTGCAGCTGAGGGCCTGGCACTGTGGGGCTCGGTGTGTGTGGCTGCTTTTCTAGCCCCCATTGGCCCAATGCCTTCTCCCAACCCTGTCCTCCAGTCCTCTCTGCTTTTCCTGGGATTCCAAAGCACTCGACAAACAAGGAATGAAGCAGGTAGATCGGTGTTATGCCGTTCTGCAGGCATAGAAGGGAAGGGACTCTTACAGGGTCACGCAGTGAATCAGTGACAGAGCCAGGAGCAAAACTGACCAGAGTAGCACTGAAATGCGGCCACCTCTGGGGTGGAGGGCCACAGCCCACTGTCCTGTGTGATGGATGAATGGATGGGAAGTTTGAGGATACCAGGGAAAACCTTACTACAGAGGGAAAGTGCCCCCCTGCTCTGCCCAGCCTGGGTGTCCTCTGGCACTTCAGAGCATGAAGGGCTGAACTGGACCTGATGGGATTCGACCCTGTGGTGCCAGGGAGTCCGACTTTTACACCTGACGCTCTGTCTGCCTGGCCATCCCCTCCCAGTGATGGGGATCTCTGGGAACTTGCGCCAGAATCTGGGCAGGCCACACAGCGCTCCAGGGTCCTGGGCCCCCAGCCTGTGCTACCACCGGTTCCCAAGGGCTCCGTTCTCGGGGCTTGTGGTGGCATGAGGCTGTGGACAGTGGGGTGAGGGGCTTGCCCCCAGGTGCAGGGTCTGAAGTGCCACTGTTAAGGGAATCAGATTTCAGAGGAACAGCCGTGTTAGTCTGTATTCGCAAAAAGAAAAGGAGCTGCAGTGTTCTGTGTGGGGCTCTCTGTCTCGTGCTGTGTTGCTGCCCTTCCTCTGTCGCCTGTCTCTCCTCCTGGGCACCTCGTTCAGATCCCTGGGCCTCCCTGCCAGTCGTGTGCCCCTGCCATTGGGGCCGGCTGCTCTGTGCGTGCAGCACTGAGCACCATGTGTGCAGCGAACAGACCCCTTGGTGCCCACTCCAGTCTCTCTTCCCCTCCCTCAGAGCAGGGCTCTTCCCCCGGCACGCTGCACTGCCAAGGACTTTGCCCTGCCACGGAGCCTCTTCTCCGCTCTCTCTGGGGATAGCCTCTCTGCAGTGGCAGGACAGGCAGCGGGGAGGCTGTGGGCATGCCGTGTGGGGTGAAGGGCAGGGGCCCCGCGCTGGCTGGGGGAGTGAGCCATCGCGGCTGTGCACCACTTCCTGCTTGTGGTCCCAGCCCGAGAAATGCCACCCACTGAAAGGGGACCTGTGACTGAACTGCTGAGACTGCTTGGCTCTGGCCTGGTCCCGAGGAGGGCGGGGTGGTCGTGCCCTGCTGAATCACATGGGGCCAGAACTGGGGGAGGCTGCTCCCAGCTGGCTGTCCCTCCGCCCCATGCCTGGCTGCTTGTGGTGAGCCCCTGAACCCCTCCCCTGGCCAGTGGTCCTGTGCACAGCTGTGGGGCCTGGAGAGAGCCCCTGGGGCTGAGGGGGTACAACTGACAGCTGGGGGGTGCTGACCATGCAGCTCATGGGTGCCTGGCTCAGGGGCTCAGCCCCTAACTGGGCACACTGGGGCAGGAGTCGCTGGCTGGCGTGGTAAGGGGAGCCCCTCTCTCCCCAGCTGGAGCTGCCTCGAACTGAGAGCCCTTGAATCTCGCCCGAGCAGCTAGTGCCAGGCCCCGCTTGCTCCCTGCAGGGAGGGCAGGCACTGGGGGTGCTGAGCCCTGGTCCCTGAGCTCCCTCTGTCGCTGCCAGTGCCCCCTGCCACGCACTGCTGGGATCCCGATGCCTGCTGCCCTCGATACCCAGCCCTGGCTCCTCGCCCCGAGCTCCCCAGCTCAAACCGGGCAGCCGTCCCTTCCCGTGGGGTGCGTCGATCCCAGACACTGCCCCTGAGGGTCCCTCCCTTTCCCGATGCTCTGACTCCATCCCCTCTCTGTCTGCTGTAGTGCTCTGGGTCCTCCTCTGCCCTGGCGCTGTTGGGGCTGCATTCCCAGTGCGTGGGGCTCTGCCCTGCACTGGGTTCCAGGGGCTGCTGGGATGGGGCCCCATAGTTTACACCTGCCATGGCCGAGCCAGTCAGTGGGTGGCAGGCAGGAGCCAAGCCTGTCTCCACATGGCAGCGGGCCTGTGCCAGGGAAGGGTGCTCCAGGCTTTGGCAGGTTGGAGCAGGCCCCAGCCTGGTGACGAGGATCATGTGCCCATGTGAGTTGCTCTCCAGGCCTGGCTGTCCTCTGCCAGTCTGACTGGTATGGGCTGGGCCACATTCACATCACTCCAGCCTGGGCAGCATGGGGCTGGGCCAGCTCTCCGCTGGGGCTGTGCCCTGGCCCGTGGCCTCGGTGCCCTGGACTAGAGGGGCCTTTGCAGATGGCTCCAGCTCTGGGCTCTGCTGCAGAAACTGTTCCGCCTGGTCCCTGCCTCACCCTGCCCCTCGGCAGGTGCTCAGGGGCTCAGCTGCCAGGCCAGCATGTGTCACTCGGCTGCACTGGGTGTGGTGTGGGCATCTGCTGGGGACGGGGACTCGCTGGTCAGCCGGTTCCCTCGGATGCAGACCCACGTGGCTCCTCTCACCTTAGGTGCTGAGCCAAGGGCTCAGTGACTCATGGGCTGGTGTCCCTGAAGTCAGGAGGCAGCTGCCTCTTCCCAGGGTCCCCTGCCGGGGGCTGGGGGGCACGTGTCTGGATCCAGGTCATGCCTCTAGCACCGCTCCCAGGCTCTGGCTGGAGAACGGGGCTGCCCCTGACCAGGGCTGGCTGAGTCCTGCTGCCCGGCTTCGAGCCCTTTTGGGTCCTGTGGCTGGACCCCAGTGGTGCACATGTGGGGAGTGATCTTCGTGCGTACCCTCCATGGACTGGGGTTTGTCATGGGGATGGTGAGATGTCCTGTCTCATCCAATGCAGAACCCCCATCCCAGCAGCAGGCTTGCGATGCCCATGTGCCAGGGGGGTTGGAGCCCGGGATGCTCTAGCTGGCCTGGAGCAGTTCACTTGCAATAGGTCAAGGTGGAGATGGGTCCCCCAGCCCACGAGTGTGTGTCCTGTCCGCTCCCCCAGAGCCCTTGCATCTCCGTAGTGGTGGGGCCTGGGCAAGGCTCCTGCTACAGTGCCATGGGGACCTTCTTGTATCCACTGCCTCATCCCTGGGCGTGGGTCCAGCCCCTGCCTGCGAGCGTCTTCCCTACTGCCTGGTGCCTGCTGTGGGGTGAGCAGGGCTTTGTGGCAGGTCCGGCCCCTCTGCTCTCAGGGGGTCTCCGGCTCCAGGCCTACAGCCTCTGGGGCCAGTGTGCTGGCGTCACTGGCAGAGCAGCACCAAGGCCTCTGGGTGGTGAACGAGTCCCGGGTGGAGCCATGTCCTGTCCTGTGCCCACTGGTCCCTTGGCTCTGGGGACAGGCTGACCCTCCCTGGGCTTCTGGGGCCCAGGGTGACAGGAGTGGCCTGGGGCAGGGGGTGAGGGGACCTGGGTGGTGCTGCCATTGCTCTTGCTGCTCTCCATGGCCCGGCGGCCCCCAGGGCGGCCCAGGGTGCTGGCCTGCAGGAGCAGGCGGGGGCGGGGAGGGAACCAGTCAACTCATGGCACTTTGGAAGCCCCCTTTGGAGTGGGGATTCCTGGTGCTACAGGGTGGGCCCCCCCCGGGGGTTTCCAGCCACACCCCAAACATTCCAGCTCCTTACCGAGCAGCAGGCGGGTTCTGGCAGGCCCTACCGCTGGTCCCGGTGGGGGGGCTGGGCAGCCCTCACCTCCCTGAGCTGCTGCCCAGGCTGTGAGGGGCCTGGCCCACCGGCTGAGCTGTGGGTCAGCTGGGAAGAGGCTCAAACTCCCTGGTGGCCAAGCCCAGCCCGAGCCAGGGGCCCCCGGGGGGATGGGGGGTTGTGTGCGCCAGGGAGGAGCCAGGTAGGAAATCCCTGCTGAGAGGCATGCAGTCTGTTCCCTGCTGCTGCAGAGTCCTCCCTTCTCTCCCTATTGGGGTTTGTCAGGAGCCGGTGGGGGCTCAGAGGTCTGACTGGTGGGAGGTTCGTCCCTGCTGTCCCACATCCCTCCCCTGCAGAGACCCAGCTGCCTCCCTCTGTCTCCAGAAAATCATCGGCGTCTTCAAGCCCAAGAACGAGGAGCCCTACGGGCAGCTGAACCCCAAGTGGACCAAATGGCTGCAGCAGCTCTGCTGCCCTTGCTGCTTTGGGAGAGACTGCCTGGTCCTCAACCAGGGCTACCTGTCCGAGGCCGGCGCCAGCCTGGTGGACCAGAAACTGGAGCTCAACATTGTTCCCCGCACAAAGGTGAATGGGGGGGGAGGGCAGAGCCTGTCATTGGGTGGGCTGCTTTTCCACGCCCCCGCAGCTCTGCTGGTGCCCCCGCGGTTCCTGCCCTGCCGCCCCCCCCACCCAGCCCTTGGCTCTCGCGGGTCCTGCGCTCCTGGGCGTAGGCTGCTGGCCCAGGAACAGGCAGAGCCCCAGCCCACGCTGCGGGAAGGCCACGTCCCACCTAGGGTCCAGCAGCTCTGCCTGTACTCCGCGCTGACCGCTGTCCCCCCCCCAGGTGGTGTATCTGGCCAGCGAGACTTTCAACTACAGTGCCATTGACCGGGTGAAGTCCAGAGGGAAAAAGCTGGCCCTGGAGAAGGTGCCAAAAGTTGGGCAACGATTCAACCGCATCGGCCTGCCGCCAAAGGTAGGGGCTGTCAGAGACCCCCTGGGGCTGCCCTGTGTCCGCAGCCCCCTCACCTGGTGTCACGCAGTGTGCGGGAGTCAGGGCCCTACACCCCCACTTCCTGTGATTCCCTGTGACTCTCAGCCAGCCAGTAAAATGGAAGGCTTATTGGAGGACAGGAGCACAGTCCCAAACAGAGCTTGTTGGTACAACTAGGACCTCTCAGACAGGTCCTTCTGGGGGGCAGGGAGCGTAGACCCCAGCCTTGGGGTTCCCTCCATTTCCCCAGTCCACTCCCAACTCAAAACCCCTTCCTGCCGACTCACCCAGCCTCCAGCTCTTCCTCCAGCCTTTGTCCAGCTTCCCAGGCAAAAGGTGTCACCTCGCCCCAACCCTCCTTCTGGCTCAGGTGACAGGCTCAGGTATTGTCCCTCCAGTGAAGCCACCCCCTGCTATCCCATCCCCCATGCAGACAGTCCCAGTAAAACTCCCCTGCCACATCCCCAGGTCAGTCCTCCCTGCTCCGTCACACCTGGCCTCTCTGCTGCAGGTGGGCTCCTTCCAGCTCTTCGTGGAAGGCTACAAGGACGCGGATTACTGGCTGCGGCGCTTCGAGGCGGAGCCGCTCCCCGAGAACACCAACCGGCAGCTGCTGCTGCAGTTCGAGAGGCTGGTGGTCCTGGACTACATCATCAGGAACACAGGTGGGGCTGGTGCCGCACCCATGCCCAGGAGCCCCGGCATTGGGCCTTGCTGCCTGGAGGGAGCTGGGGAGGGGGAGAGCAATGAGTGGGGAGTCAGCATATTGCTGCCCCAGGACGGGGGGAGGGTGCAGAGTCACTGCACCCCCTGCCACAGGGCAGCTGTGACTGGGGTGGATCACAGCAGCTAACAGCACCACTTCCCTGACACGAATGGTGTAGCCAGGGGAGGCAGAAGGTCATAGCTCAGGCTGGCCTGGCCGGGGCCCTGCGGTTAAACCCCTGTCTGCAGCTGGAATGCCAAGGAGCTGGAGCTGCAGTTCTATCCCTGCTTGGCACTGGCCTGGGCAGGGGGGTTCGTGACTGGCTTGGGGGAACGCTCCCCTCCTCAGCACCGTGCCAGGCGGAGTCTGGCCCTGCTCGGTCTGGGAGTGGGGTGGGTCTCCTGGCCTTGGGGCCTGAGCTGCCAAGGCAGGGCTGGAGGGGAAGATGCCGCTCCTGGGCTGTGCCTGTGAATGCTCCCAAACTGTTCGGTCTCTGGGGGTGACGTATTTGGGGGCAGCCCTGGCTGGCTTGGGGCCTGGAGCCGTTTCCCAGGGTAGAGTTCCCTTTGCCAGCCACTGAGCTCCCCCTGGGGCCCTCATGTGTGTGGTTCTATCTTCCCCCTCCCCCGTCCCCTCCCTCCAAAATCCCTGGAGGAGTCTGTGTCCCCTCCTGTGTGCCGCGCGCACCCAGAGGGTTACGTGGCCCAGGGTTGCCCTGGTGCTGCTGGAGACTGTGAACCCCCACTCCGTGCCTCGCATGCCCGAGCAGGGAGCTTTGGTGCTGCTCCTCCCCAAACAGGGCAGGTCCTGTAGTGACGTCCACTGGTTCTGCTCCCTGCAGATCGAGGCAATGACAACTGGCTGATCAAGTATGACTGCCCGCTGGACAGCACAAGTGTGCGGGTGAGTGGGGAGGGGGCTGGGCAGGGAGTGTGGGGAAAGTCACTGGACTGTCAGGCAGCAGAGGCGAGTTCTGAATGTGCTGAGGTTCTGGGTCTTCTCTCCAGTGGTGGGGAGTTGTCCAGCCCCATGGATGGTTCTCACAAGCCTCCCCTTCTGGCTGATGGCAGTGTGATTTACATGGACCGAGGCTCTTGTCGGAGGAGGAGCCAGGGCCCGTTCTGTGCAGGTGTTGGCATAGGGATGCAGATGGGGAGCTGGGCTCTGTTTAGGTACCATGTGGCAGGCTGGAGACGTGCTTGTGATGGTGTTGCTAGGTAGACTCGCCGTCCCCACAACAGTAGTGCGATGTGGCAGTCGAGCTGTGGCTCATTCAGTCTCCCAGCCCCTCTGTGAAGCCCCAAAGGCTGTGTGGTCTGAGCCCCAGCCAGCTGCAGGTGGTATTGGCCAATTCTTGGCACTCTCTAAGCAGGAGGGGCGTTGGGAGCTAGAAGGGCCCATTGTGGGCATCTCCTCTGACCTCCTGTATAACACAGGGCAGAGACCTGCCCTGCAATAATTCCTAGGGCAGAGCTTCAAAAACATCCCATCTGGATTTAACAATGGCTGGTGATGGAGAATCCACCCCGAGCCTGGGAAGTCGTTCCAGTGGTTAATGTACACCTCATTTCCAGCCTCTATCTGTGTAGCTTCAACGTCCAGCCACTGGATTGAGTGAGACCTTCTTTGGCTGGACTGCAGAGCTTGTGGTTAAATATCTGTCCCCCTTGTAGGTGCTGACAGACAGATCGAGTCACCCCTTAGCCTTCTCCTTGTTAAGCTAAATAGATCGAGCTCCTTGAGTCTGTCACTATCAGGCAGGTTTTCTAATCCTTTAATCATTCCCGTGACTCTTCTCTGACCCCTCTCCAATTTACCCACATCCTTCTTGACTTTGTGTGCACCAGAACTGGACACCAGTGCCAAATCCAGAGGTAAAATCACCTCTCTGCTCCTTCTCAAGTCCCCTGTTTATGCATCCCAGGATCGCATTTGTTCTTTTAGCCACAGCGTCACCCTGGTATGTTTAAAAAATGTAAAAATAAAAAAATAAAAAAAAAAATAGAATGAATGGAAGAAAGGGGAAATTTGGTAGAAATAAATATTCATCAGAAGTTGGGAATTGTAGAAAATGTGATAAGGGAAGTCCAGGGAGACGCAGAGAAATCCATGGCCAGCAGAGTGAGGGACAATAAGGAGGAGCCTGACAATGGTATTGGTCCATTGACAGATGGAAATGGTGGTAGAATTATTAGTGATAATGCAGAAAAGGCAGAAATGTTCAGTAAACATTAATATTCTGGGGGCAAAAAAAAATTATATCTCATTGTATGGAGACAATACTATTTCAATTCACCTTGTACCTCTGGAGAGTGTTAGACATTAGTAAAGTTAGACATTTTTAAATCAGCAAGTCCAGGTAACTTGCATTCAAGAGTTTAAAAAGAGCTGCCTGAGGAACTCGCTGGACCATTAATATTGATTTTCAATAGGTTATGGAGCACTGGGAAAGTTCCAGAAGACTGGAAGAAAGCTACTGTTATGCCAATTTTTAAAAAGGGTAAACAAGATGACCTGGGTAATTATAGGCCTGACAGCTATCCTGGGCAAGATAATGGAGTTGCTAATGCAGGACTCAGTTACTAAAGAACTAAAGGAGCATAATGTAATTAAAGCAAATGAGTTCAGATTTATGGAAATTAGATCCTGTCAAATTGGATATATTCTTTGATGGAGATTATAAGTTAAGTTGATAAAGTGGACATAGTGTACTTAGATTTCCAGAAAGCCTTTGACAAGGTCCCTCACCAAAGGCTCTTACGTAAATTAAGTTGTCATGGGATAAGAGGGAAGATCCTTTCATGGATTGAGAACTGGTTAAAAGACAGGGAACAAAGGGTAGGAATAAATGGTAAATTTTCAGAAAGGAGGGGGTAACTAGTGGTGTTCCCCAAGGGTCAGTCCTAGGACCAATCCTATTCAATTTATTGATAAATGTTCTGGAGAAAGGTGTAAACAGCGAGGTGGCAAAGTTTGCAGATGATACTAAACTGCTCAAAATAATTAAGACCAAAGCAGACTGTGAAGAACTTCAAAAAGATCTCACAAAACTAAGGGATTGGGCAACAAAATGGCAAATGAAATTTAATGTGGATAAATGTAAAGTAATGCACATGGGGAAAAAATAATCCCAATTATACATACAATATGATGGGGGGCTAATTTAGCTACAACTAATCAGGAGAAAGATCTTGGAGTCATCGTGGATAGTTCTCTGAAGATGTCCACGCAGTGTGCAGCGGCAGTCAAAAAAGCAAACAGGATGTTAGGGAATCATTAAAAAAGGGATAGAGAATAAGATGGAGAATATCTTATTGCCCTTAAATAAATCCATGATACGCCCACATCATGAATACTGCGTACAGGTGTGGTCCCCTCATCTCAAAAAAGATATGCTGGCATTAGAAAAGGTTCAGAAAAGGGCAACTAAAATGATTAGGGTCCCATATGAGGAGAGATGAAAGAGGCTAGGACTTTTCAGCTTGGAAAAGAGGAGACTAAGGGGGGATATGATAAAGGTGTATAAACTCATGAGTGGTGTGGAGAAAGTGAATTAGGAAAAGTTATTTACTTGTTCCCATAATATAAGAACTAGGGGCCACCCAATGAAATTAATGGGCAGCAGGTTTAAAACAAATCAAAGGAAGTTGTTCTTCGCTCAGCGCACAGTCAACCTGTGGAACTCCTTGCCTGAGGAGGTTGTGAAGGCTAGGACTATAATAGGGTTTAAAAGAGAACTGGATAAATTCATGGAGGTTAAGTCCATTAATGGCTATTAGCCAGGATGGGTAAGGAATGGTGTCCCTAGCTTCTGTTTGTCAGAGGGTGGAGATGGATGGCAGGAGAGAGATCACTAGATCATTACCTGTTAGCTTCACTCCCTCTGGGGCACCTGGCATTGGCCACTGTCAGGAGACAGGATACTGGGCTGGATGGACCTTTGGTCTGACCCAGTCTGGCCATTCTTATGTTCTTAAGGTAATAGTGCTTATGAAACATACTTAGACTTCTATAAGGCATTTGACTTGGGACTGCATGACATTTTGAATTAAAAAAAAAAAAAAAAAGAATATAAAATTAACCTGGCACACATGAAATGGACTAAACGCTGGGTAACTGATAGGTCTCAAAATGTCACTGTAACTGGGGAATTATCATTGAGTAGATCTGTTTCCAGTGAGGTCCTGCAGGGATCAGTTCTTGGCCCTACACAATGTAAGTTTTATCAATGACCAGGAAGAAAACATAAAATCATCCCTGATAAAGTTTGCAGATGACCCAAAATCTGGGGGGGTGGTAAATAGCAAAGAGGACAGGTCACAGATACAGTGTGATCTGCATCGCTTGGCAAACGAGCACGAGTAAACAATGTGCATTTTCACGCGGCTAAATGTCAATGTACACACCTAGGGACAAAGACTGCAGGTCACACTTACAGGCTGGGGGACTCCGTCCCGGGAAGATTCCTAACTTCTGATTTATACTCATTACTATCAACTCCCCCGTCTCCCATTTGTGTGTACTATCTCGTTATTTGTTATAGCTGCTGTCACTTCCCCCTAAACCAGTTCAGTTTTGTTTAATCAGCGGAACCCTCTTCCTCAATTGTGGCTTTTGGGCCATCCAGTGAAGTGTTCTTAAATGATCCCCAATGATCATTCACATTGGTCTCATTAAACTCTCCCTCCCAGCTGATTTGGCTCATCATTGTTTTTAAGCTTTGTGAAACTGGCCTTGTTAAAGCCCCAAGTATTTATACCACTGGCCTGGGCTTCTTTCTGCTTCCATGTTATAAGTGTGATCAGTCACGATCACTTGTACCTAAGGTCCCATTAACTTCTAGTTATGTGGTCAGCTCCTCCTTATCTGTAGGACAACGTCTGCTAGAGAATTCCCACAAGTTGGCTGCAGCACTTTGAGTTTGGAAACTGTCATTAATAATGGTTAGAAATTCCAAGGATGTCTTAAAAAGCTGTCAGCAGGAGACCTCCAGCGCATGTCACTCAAATCACAGTCCCCCCCAATTATGTGGCTTTTTCCTACATGTTAGAGACAGGTGTGTAAGGAGCCGGTCCCCATGTGATTTGAGTTCAGTGCCAGCCCTGACCCCTCAGTGCAGTGCACCGGCTCCTGTGCCCAGGGCAGTATGTTGGCAGTGAGGGGAGTCTGGGATGAGAGCGGAGGAGCCAGGCAGCAGGTGGTTCAGAACAGAGGAAGTGCCTGGGGCAGGGACCAGGCTGCATGGTGGTGCCAAGGGTGAGTGCTGGGCTCTGGCTTCCCTGCCCCTGGTGACTCCTGATCGATTTGTTTCCCCTGTAGGACTCTGAGTGGGTGGTGGTGAAGGAGCCCATCATCAAACTGGCTGCCATAGACAACGGCTTGGCTTTCCCCCTGAAGCACCCCGACTCCTGGAGAGCATGTAGGTCCCTCTGCTGCGCTCCTGCTCGCGAACCTGGGGCCAGCCTGGTGCTTTGACAACTTGTCTTATGCTGGCAATCCCCAGGGCTAGGCCTGCAGCCCCGCACCAGCTCCCTGGAGCCGGCCGGGCACCATGCTCCCAGAAGCAGCAGGGTGGCCTCAGTTCCCCCTGGGGGCTGGGAGATGGTTCAAGGGGTGGGAGCCATGGCAAGAGGGCTCATGCCAGCCCCCCAACGGGTGGGGCTGTCCCCAGGGCACCAGGCTGTGACCCCCATGCCATCCTTCGCAGGCCAGGGCTGAGCACATGGCTCTGACCTCGGCTCCGGCTCTTCCCCCCCCAGACCCCTTCTACTGGGCATGGCTGCCCCAGGCCAAAGTCCCCTTCTCACAGGAGATCAAAGACCTGATCCTCCCAAAGGTTTCCGACCCCAACTTCGTCAAAGACCTGGAGGAGGATTTGTACGAACTCTTCAAGGTCAGGTGGGGGCCTGGGAGGGAGGGAGGTCTGTCATGTAGATGGGAGGGGCTGGCCTGGGTGGTGCAATGAGACCCTTTCAGAGCCAGGGGGTGGGGGGCTCAGCCTGCGTGGGGTGGGTTTTGCTGCATCCTGCTAGCTCCTTCTTGGGGGAGCAGAAATCCCAGGCAGCAGCTGCTGTCAGGGCAGGGGCCTTGCTGCCTAGGGCCCGGGGGTCTCGCAGCAGGGGTCTGCGTCCAGGGTCTCACTGCCTTGGTGAGGGAGACGGGCGTGTCACTGCCGGGGGGTGGGCAGTGTCGCTGCCTTGGCGGGGGTGTCTCGCTGCCTGGGTGAGGGAGGCAGGGGTGTTGTTGCCAGGGCCTGGGGTCTCACTGCCTTGGGGGGTGAGGGGTGTCTCGCTGCCTGTCCCTCACTGCCGTTTCTCTTGCAGAAGGACCCTGGCTTTGACCGGGGGCAGTTCCACAAGCAGATTGCTGTCCTGAGGGGCCAGGTATGCTGGGAAGGCCCCTCTTGGTGGGGCGGGGCAACGGCTCCCTCTTGCCCTGTGGGCAGGCATGGCAGGGGCATGCTGGGCGCTGCAGTGTGGGACACTGGCCTAGTGCCCCTCGGGGGGACAGTGGCCCCGGCAGTTCCCTGGTCTGCGGTGCCTAGGGCAGGAGTCCTGGACTCAGCATCCCTTCTGCTCTGTTGCCTAGATCCTGAACCTGACACAGGCCCTGAAGGACGGGAAGAGCCCCCTACACCTGGTGCAGATGCCACCGGTGATCGTGGAGACGGCACGCTCCCACCAGCGCAGCGCCAGCGAATCCTACACACAGAGCTTCCAGAGCCGCAAGCCCTTCTTCTCCTGGTGGTAGCTGGCTGCTGGGCCCCCTGGGCTGGCTGGAGCAGTGCTGGCCTGCTCCTGTCTGCTGCTGCGGACCTGCAGTCAGGACTCTACGCTCCAGGAGAGGGCAAGTGCATCTGGGGGAACTTCCAGCTGAACTCTGCCCGGGCAGAGCCATGGATTCCCTGTGCTGCGGGGCTTGGACACAGCCTGGCAGAGCCCAGCTCCAGCTGCAAACTGCCTGCTCAGCAGGAGTCCTCAATGCAGCTGCTGAGTGAGTGGAGCCAGGGCCTGCCTCCTGCATGTGGTTCTCAGCCCATCTGCTCCCTGCTGGGGCTGGGATCCGCCCACCCCTCAGGAACCCAGGCTGCTCGCTGACTGCAGGGGAATAAAGGCAGCCAGTGTCAGCTGGAAGTGGCCCTGCTGGGCTGCCCCCCCTCCCCAGTGGCTGTTTGGAGCTGGTGTCCCTGGAGAGGAGGCATGTGCATGAGTTGAGGGGCTGGCACAGGAGACCCAGCACGTGCCCAGGGCTGAGCTGGCAGGGGGCAGCAGGCCTGGGGGTGCCCCAAACAGCTGCGCTATTGAGTGTTTGTAGTTGCCCTTCCTGCAGAGGGGAGAGCAGGGGCTGGAGACTGTGGATCCCAGGGAGCGCTGAGCACCTTGGCACAGGAGTGATGCATGCTGGGACCTGGCCCCACTTCATAGGAAAGCTGAGGGCCCTGGCATGGGAGCTGCTTGTCCCCCTTCCCCACTGGGCACAGGGTGATCTATCCTGGTTTAGCTGGCCTGCCATTATTCCACCCTCTCTCCTATATGAGGGGCCCATGTTCCCCTCTGCTCCTGCCCTCAGGCTGCTGGGCAAGCCCTCTGTCCAGGGGCACTCGCCCTCTGCTCCGCAGGCCCTGGCTGCATGTTGGGGCAGCCTGGCTTCACTTCTCAAAGGAGCCATGCCAGCCCTTCCCAGCCAGGGGGGAGTCCAGCCTGGCATGGGGGGGGCTGGTGCCTGCTAGGTGAGCTATGGCTGCTGGAAGGGTTCTGGCTCCATGCATCTGTAGGGCTCCCTCTTCCCCACCCTGTTGCTGGTCCTGCGGCCAGGCGGCTTGCCTCATGGGCACTGCCCAGGGGCAGTTCTGGGCATCATACAGCTGGTTCCCAGGCTGGGCCTGGGCCAAGCTCCTCCTCCTGGTCCTGCCCCAAGCCCCCTAGGGTAGCAAAGCACCGGGGCTCAGGCTGTGCTGCCCCATTGGGGCAGGGGGGTTGGGCACATTCCCCTCCATGAACGGAAGTGGGTGGGGGGAGTCAGGCTCTGGGGCAGGCCTGGGCTGCAGGGCCTGGGCTGCAGGACCTGGGCCCCTGTGCGCTGGAGCTGGCCAGGGGCTTCGTGGGCTGTGGCCACTGCTAGCAAGCCAGAGGCAAGATTCCATCTTTCTGGCAGCTGCTGCTGCTGCAACCTGACCTGTAATGTATCGTTCTCATGCACTGTTGAAATGTATGTAATGTATTTAAACCCATGCACCAGCTGAGTCAGACCTGCCTTTCCCTGTGGGGCTCTGGGGGTGGGGAGAGGTGACACCTGCTGCAGCTGGGGGGTGAGTGCCCCTCTGCCTGTGGGTGCCACTTGCTCCTGTCTGCCCCTGGGGGCTGTGATGTGGCACTTATCAGGCAGGGCCTGTGGCCTACCACGACCTGTCACTGATAAGTCTGGGCTGGGGGTGCTGTCCTTGCTCTAGTGCCCCAGGGAGCTACTCTCCTGGGCCTGAACCCAGCTGCAGGAGTAGGGGGAGCTGCTGCAGCCAGGCTGGAGCAAGGGGCAGCAGCTGGGGGCTGTGCCCTGCTGAGCTGGCTGTGGTCAGTAGAACAGGCCCATCTCCCTGAGGCCCCAATGCTTCCAGCACCTGTGCTGCTGTAGCTGACCTGCCTGCCATGGGCACAGGGCAAAGCTGCTGTCAGCTGTGAGGAATGCCCTGCAGAGCTGGGCATCTAGGGGTGCCCCCTGGGGGCTGGCAGCTGTGGGCATGCTGCTTTCTGCCTGAAGCTAGAGCACTGTCTGTCAGGGCCTGTGTAAAGTGACCCCTCCCCCTGCATTAGTGGGCTGGAGGGGGGTGGGATCTGGCGGGAAGGGGTCAGGGAAGGGCCTGAGCAGTGTCCTCTACTTCCAGCTGAGGAGCATGTGCCATGTTAGGAGAATTGTGCTGGCTCCCTCCTCACAAGAGGCAGTGGGGCTATGAGCCCCCTGTTGAATTGGCTGCCAGGCAGTCTGACCCCACAGAGGGAGAAAAGCACCCCCCCACCCCACTGTACTTCGTGTCCTTCAGCCGCGTGCATCTGAACTGGGGCTTTCTAGCACTTCCCCTGGCCTTTCCACAGCCCTCGTCCTGCAGGAGCATAGCCAGGGCCTGGGGAGTCTCACGGTGCAATGGGCTGAGTGGGACGGTGCCCAGGGATCTGAACAGACAAAACAACAGGCTGGCATTTACACCCCACCTGCCAGGCTGAGCACCCAGCTGGGCTGCTGTACAGAGGTGCCCTGGCTGTGTCATGCTGTAGTGAGAGCCTCACCCCACATAGGTGTGTCTCCCTGGTCCTCCCCTCTCGGAGCTGGCCAGGCCTGCAGTAAATCCTGGCAGTGCAGACAGCAGCAGACTGGGAGGCATGTACAGGTCTCACGGCTGGGTTACTGCTCTGGCTTTTATTACACATTCTCTCCTGCTGTATTCAACAAGCATCAGGTGTTTTCCTTGGGCTGCCCACAGTTGGGTGGGGCTCACCTATGGGACTTGGACCCCAGGCAGAGGGGCACCCTAGAAAGCCAGCTCTGGTGCTGACTGCATTTGCCCCACATGTACCCCCCCAGCCAGGCCTGGAGGTGGGGGAAGGGCTGCCTGCTTGTGGGTTACTCCCCTCCCCATTTGGGCTCATCTAGCTGCCAGCACAAGGCTCAGCACCACTTGGGTCCCAGAGGCCCTGGCCCCTCAGCAAAGGGCCTTCAGGGCAAGTTTGTGTTGGATGAGGGGTGGCTGCAAGGCCCATTCGCAGCCCAGGCTGCAGCTGCCCTAGGCTGGCTGGTCCCCACAGTGATGGGTGGCTCACTTCCCCGCAGGGACCCCTCACTCTGCTCCCCCCTCCCTTCACCTACTGTGGGGGAGGGAGGGGAATCTGCAGCTGCTTGGCCCAGCTCTAGCCAGGGGGGACAGAACCCCCGCCCTGTGTCTCTGCCAGCGTGTGGGGCTGAGCCTGGCCAGGCAGCTGGGAGCTCCCAGCACCAGCTGCCCCCCTCACTGCTGGAGCTGGTGCAGGTACCCTGTGGGCCCTGGCCCCCTCTTCCTCCGCCTGGTCCTTGGACCTGTCCTGCTGGGCCCCTCCAGCCTCGGGGTGCTGCCAGGGTCTGCGCCAGGGGAGCTGCTGTCCTCGAGCCTGTAGGGGAACAAATGGAGTCAGTGTGAGGGGCAGAGGATGCCTGGCCAGGAACACATGGGGCATCCCTGCCCCAGGCGCGAGGGTGGAGCTGGAATTGCGGCAGAGGCAGCTAGCCCAGCCTCCCTCAGGGCAAAGGATCTCCCTAGCCGAGGCTGCCCCTTCCAGCCATGCCCTCCCCATGGCCTTGCTGCAGGGGGGCTCCCCTCCTGGGCCAGGCCAGATGGGAGCCAGGGACAGGTTTGGAGTCCGTTACCCACAGTGCTGGGGGAGCTAGAGGGGGAGGCGGCAGGTCCAAGGAAGGGCCCTGGCACTGGGATGCTCTTTTGTGTTTAGGGGTAGCTCATTCAGTCTACCCTGGGCCAGCCCCTGAATCACACAGGCCAGGCATGCCCCCACCAGGGCTTGTGGGGTGACCTGCCACTGCCCCATGTTTCCCCAGAGCCCCACCCCACGGTGCAATCTCCCCACAGGAGGCTGTGCTGGCCACTCCGCATGCTCAGGGCCCTGGGCCCAGCCTGTACCTTGGGTGGCTGCTGTCCTGAGCTGCTGGGCTCAGCTGGGGTGGCAGCCGCCCCCTCCTCTGCCTGCCCCTGAGCTGGCGCAGGGCTTGGGCCGTGCGCCGGTCGCCCGCATAGCCCAAGACCAGCTGGGCGCGTTCCTCGGCCCGTGTGTCCCCGCTGCTCCGGAACAGCTGCCTCAGCTGCAGCAGCCCCACGCCCTGGAAGATGTTGGCAGAAGCTCTTTTCCGGGCACGGGCCTCAGGAGCCTGGCGCTGCAGGGGGTCACATGCCACAGAGGCCGGGGTGCCCATGGGTCTGCCCCCGTGGGCCCAGAGGAGAAGCTGTGGGAAGGAAGGGAACAGGATGAGGCTGCGAGAAGGGTTTGGGTGTCCCACTGCCTCCTGCATCCCCGGGGCCTCCCCTGCTGGGACGGGTGGGGGAGGGGGGAGCCTAGGGGATTTTGCAGCCTGCACCCATAACATCTGCCCAGTGTCCCAGCCAGTGTGTCACTAGCCAGGGGCCCAAGGCCGGCTGGGAAAGAGAAGAGCCAGATATTTCCCTGCCTGGCTGCGCTGCCTTTGGGGCCCAGAGGGGCCCCATTTCCTGAGCTGGCTGAGCAGGGCTGGACCCGAGCCACCATCCTCAGGACACAACAGCCCCATAGCCCTCGGGCAGGCCCAGGAAAGAGGGGGGGGCCGCTGCCTTCTCCGGCGGGCCGCGAGCAGGGGGGGTCGCGCTCCAACGACGGGCGGCCCTGGGCTCTCCGGGTGCGTCTACACGGCAGCTACAAGCCCAGGGCTGGCCCGCGCCAGCTGGCCCCGGGGCTGGGTAACTGTGGTTACGCCCCGGCTGGGTCCCGGCGCTCCAGCCCCAAGGGCGAGAGGCAGTGACCGGCCCCGAGCCCGGCCCCGGCGCAGGCAGCGGCGGGGTTCAACGCCAGTGTAGACGCGCCTCGGCGCCCTCGGCCCCAGCGCCGCTCCGCGCCCGCCCGCCCGCGGAGGGAGCCAGCCCCGGACCTGCCCGCGACCGGCCCCCGGCTCGGGGGGGCTGGCGGCGGGGGGCCCGAGCGCCCCGGCCGGGCCCGACCGGACAGACCGGACCCGCCCCGAGCGCCCCCGCCCGGCTACCTGCGCACGCGACTGGCGGCGGCGGCGGCGGCGGCGGCTCCGCGGCCGGGCCCGGCTCTGGGGTCCGGCCCGAACCCCCCGCCCCGAGCGAGGACCGCAGCCCCGCCCCCCGCCTGCCAGCCAATCAGCGGCCGCGGCCATCCGCGTCCCGCCTTCCCGAGCCGAACGCGGAGACACCGGCCGCCCAATCAGGCCCCGCACAGGGGGAGGGGCGGCGCCTGGCGCCTCTCGGGGAAACACGTGGCACTCAGTGACGTCAATAGGCAAGCGGTGACCAGCTGCTGGCGGGGGGGTCCGGCGCTACTGGCGGGGAGAAACGGGGAGCGCCCCCCCCGGAGCCTGCAGCCGCCCCCCCATCCCGCCCAAACCCCCCCCGCCCCGGAGCCTGCAGCCGCCCCCCCCCCATCCCGCCCGGGACCCCCGCCCGGGAGCCTGCAGCCGCCCCCCCCATCCCGCCCGGGCCCCCCCGCCCGGGAGCCTGCAGCCGCCCCCCCCATCCCGCCCAAAACCCCCCGCCCGGGAGCCTGCATCGCCGGACCCCCCCCCCCATCCCGCCCGGGACCCCCGCCCGGGAGCCTGCAGCCGCCCCCCCCCATCCCGCTCGGGACCCCCCGCCCGGGAGCCTGCAGCCGCCCCCCCATCCCGCTCGGGGCCCCCGCCCGGGAGCCTGCAGCCGC